TCCCCCGTATAGCCTTAACAGACCATTGGGGCAACTGCTGTTGTGAGCACCTATGAGGCGGGCACGGCATACGAAGTGGTGAGTGGGCAACACCTCGCCTGGCCGCCTTTCTCTCCCGAGTGGCAATGTTACATATCGCACCAGGTACTCATTTGAGGATGAATCGACCTAGGGAGGCCCAGAAAATCGTTTCAGAAAAATAGTCACTGGTGTTGGCCATGAGCAGGAATCGAACTTTTGCTGGGATCGTAGCGCAGCGCACTAACTGCTAAACTAAACCGCTTCCCACACACACGCGCGCGCACACCACACAAACACACGGCATCGAACAAAAGGGTTTAGTAACCATGAGAAACCATTTTTTTCCCCAGTCCTGACCACCAGAACTGGTTGAACATTACAATAAACAGATGCCCGACAAAATCCCACTTCCACAATGTACATTCCATCATGATCATCGCTTGATATTTATTACCGCGCCTCCCTTGCAGGACACGTGGCAAGCTCGCCCTCTGTGACACAAGCCGAGTGAAGCAACCAGCATCTGCAATGCGCATGTCCAATACACTGCTGGATGAGGGACCACCCCACCTCGACCCACGACCCCACGCCGTCGGGGTCGTGGGGGCTAATCGGCAGCACTTCGCCACGCAGGGTCCGCACGGGTTAAAGGTGGGGGAGCGTAAACGTCGGCGCATAGTGCGGTACAACAACGGCTTTTGCTGCGCCGACCCTTGCTGACTAACGACGTAGCCCCCGCGGCAGGCTACGACCCCCGGCTCACGACTGTGCGCGTACGTGTGTGGTGTGTGTGCGTCGCGTGTGTGTTGGAAAGTCCTACCTGCTGGGATCAATTTCCACGCCCCTGCCGGACAGTATCACCTGCAACACAACACTCAATCTCAGCAAAAGACAGCCCAGCGGCTTTCAACTGCTGTGCCCATGTTGCCCCCCCCCCCCCGTCCCCACATAGGTGTGGGGGATGGGCAACCTGTGCATGCCCCCCCCCCCCCATCCTCCCATTCAAGTGACCCTCGTTGTGAAAACGGCCCCGGCATAAAACATCTCACTCAGCCGATGCCAGGACCTCTCTTCGTCACAGAACAGAGGCCCATGCAGGCTCAGATGCTAAGCAAGGCGAGGCCTAGCGATCGTCACGGGAGACCCTGCCCCTCGCCTACCTTGCCTACCCGACCCGGCTCAAGGTACACAGGACAAAGCAAAGACAACGATCTCCCCGCTGTAGCCAGTGCGAAAGGATGCACGGAGAAAAGCGTTGTGACCTGCAGCAGGGTGAGTGGGTGGGTAAGTAGGTGAGCGTTTGAGTGAGGTGGGCGAGTGAATATGTTGTTGACCTGCTGTGCGGTGGTGGATGAGATGCAACAGTCAACCAGGTAGACGCGATTCCTCAACACGGGTGGAAAGAATCAACGGGCGAGGCTCATGCGAGCAGTAACCGTGGTGGTGGTGGTAGTAGCGGCAGAAGGGCGGTAAGGAGGCGACTGACCTCCGATGAGCCCGGTGCTACCGGCTACGGCTACGGGAGGGGGTAGTAACGCTCGCGACATTCACCCGGACGGATCTTCGCACGTCTGCGGATTTACTCTTGGCATTCGCTGCCAATTAATTAAACCTCCCGGAACAACCCCGGCAACAGAAACACAACGCATCCCTTTGGACGCGCCACCCGCTTGGCACGCGAGCGCCGCTCGCTAGCCCCTAGCTCGTTCGCTGCCGCAGCCGTTTTGGCCCAGCGCCGGTCACTTTTGGTGGAGGGGCGGAGGGGGGGAGGGGGGGGAGGGGCGGTCGCGCATGCGGCTCCCACCGCCGGCACAGCTGCCTCCGATTACCGGCAGCGCTCGCGAGCAGCCGCTAATGGCTGTTAAACCGTGCCATACGCCGGGGTTTGGCTCGGCAACGAAACAGACCCCGGGAACCGCGGATCGGCTCAGCTGTTCCCAGAGACTGTGTCGGGGTGGCGGTGGAGAGGGGGGGGGGGTTGCGTGTGAGTGAGGGAGCATGCTTTCACTCCGACTTAGCGTTAAAGGGATTTCTGCCGTGGGAAGGGAGCGCGCGCACGTGCACGCACACGCGTTCGATGTAGAGGTTGGAAATTTTATTTTACCGGGAGAAGATGTGGGGGGTGGGTGGGTGGGGCGGGGGCGGGGAAAAACAAGCGAGTTGGAACGTTGTTCCCGTTCGCGAGGGGGCTCCGTGTGTTCGTGCGCATTGCACAGCCCCGTGTGTGGCGATCCACTGCTGGATGAGGACCGCACCATGTGGTGCGGGTCGTTGGTGTGGGGGGGGGGTTTCGCTTATCGTGCTTCGTCACGCGGTCAGCGCGGGCCGCTCAACGAGGAGACAACCGCAACGGTCTTCCGGGTAGTACTCGCCGCCACCGATGTCGGCCGTGGCCGCGGGGAACTGAACACGAGCAGCCGGGTTCGTAGCGGAGGTGGGGGACGTATATCAGAGGTCGCAAACGGGTTTTGATTCCTTACCCATACCCGTACCCGGCCACACCAGGGTCACAAATGGGTACCCGTACCCGTACCCAGCCGGGCACGGGTACCCGTTCCCTACCCGTACCCGTACTCTACCCGAAATGAGTGACAAACAGTTACTCACCAGTGACTCACGGTCCTACCCGTACCCGTACCCGGCCGCACCAGGGTCGCAAACGGGTACCCGTACCCGTACCTGGCCGGGTACGGGTATCCGGGTATCGGGGAGGGTACGGGTATCGGGTACCCGGTTGCGACCTCTGACGTATATGGACGCTGTTGCAACCGCCCTCTGCAGGCAAGGCAGCGCCGCTGAACCCCACTGCACGGCTTTGTGTGCGGCGACGGCCGCCCATCCGAACACTACCAGTCTCGACCCAGGCTGCAATTGAGATGCAGCATTATTCAGGAGAGAGAGAGGCCCGACATATGAGAAGGATTACTCCACAAGGCTGTTATTAACGTACCACAGCACCTGCGCGCGTGGGCGTGTGTGGGTGTCAGTCGGTGTTTGTGTGCATGTGTGCGGGGGCGGCAATTGCAGCGGTTAGCGCGCTGCGCTCCGAACCCGGCGACCCGAGTTCGATTGCCACTCACGGCCAACACCAGTGACGATTATCTGAAGCGGTCCCCCTAGGTCGACTCAGCCTCAAATGAGTACCTGGTACGGTGTGTAAACATCGCCACTAGGGAGGACAAAGGCGGTCGGGCGTGGTGCTGGACACCCACCCCCTCGTGTGCTGTGCAGGCCTTCATAGGTGCTCGCTAACAGCACTTGCCCCAACAGTCTGTTAAGGCTATACGGGGATCTTTGTCTTTGTTTTTTGGGGAGCGTTAGCACAGTCGTTAGCGCGCTGCACCTACGAACCTGGCGACCCGAGCATGATTCCCACTCACGTCCTGAGCCCCCACAAGGTCGACTCCAGCCTCAAGTCAGTACCTGGTACGGTGTGTAAACGTCGCCACTAGGGAGACAAAGGCGGTCTGGCGTGGTGCTGGCCACCCACCCCCTCGTGTGTCGCAGCGGCTCACTAACAGCGGCTCACTAACAGCACTTGCCCCAACAGTCTGTTAAAGGCTACACAGGAGACCTTTGCACATGTGTGCACATGCGGGTACGAGTGCACGCGTGTGTGCATGCGTGTGCGTGCGTGCGCACGTACATGCGTTGTGCACGGGGTTCAGCTGCAGCCACTCCTCCTCCACCTCCTCCAGGTCCCAGCCGCCCCCCAGGGGTGAACGCGCGCGCACACCGCACGTCCACGGAGCCCGCCGCCCCCCGCGACCCCTCCCCCTCCCGGCCCGACCTTCGGAGCTATTCACGCCACGGGGGTCGGGGGTCAGGGTTAGCACAACCTCCTGTGAGTCAGAGGGTCGCGATAATTATTGTTATTACTTCATGGACACGGCTGTTGAAGCCCAGTCCCAAAGGCCTAAATGGTCGTCGGCCAATAACAAGCAGCACTTTGAAAGCTGTAATTCGCAAGAGTTTAACACGTTTCCTGAATTGCGCAAGGTTATTATAAGGGCTTGGGAGAAGTGATGACGGGAGGGGATTTTAAAGTGCAGCAGTGCAGGCAGGAGGCCAGAAGAGATGTATTGTGACCTCTGGTGTGGTGAGCGATTTGAGCGAGTGAGCGAGTGAGCGAGTGAGCGAGTGAGCGAGTGACGGTTGAGCGGGTGAGCGGGTAAGCGGTGTCAGCGCTAGCGAGAGCGAAATGAGCGTGTGTGCGATTGAGGCGAGTGGAGCGGGTGAGCGGGTGAGCGGGTGAGCGGGTGAGCGAGTGAGCGGGTGAGCGAGTGTAGCGTGGTGAGCGGAATGAGCGGGATGAGTGGGTGAGCGGTGTGAGCGTGTGAGCGAGTGAGGCCGGGTGAGCGAGTGAGCGTGTTGAGGCGAATTGAGTGTGTTCTGTGACCTGCAGTGTGGTCAGCTGAACACGGTGGTGGAGGATGAGATGAAAGTCAGTGTCTGGCAGACGCGGGAGTCCCTCATCAACAAGTGGGTGAAAGAAATCCACGCTTGAATTTCACGGGAGCAAGGCGAGAGACTGGAGTGACTCGTAGGCGTTCAATTCGATCAGGTACTATGTGTAGCTGGACACAATGGCAGGGCGCGCCAAAGGCTAAGGCTAGGCTAGCTATGAGAGGGTTAGAACTCAAAGACAGGGATAACATGGGGCTGTTGAGACAGGGTTAGGGCTGGCATAGAACAGGGCTCTTCCCACAACTCACACCGACCAGTTTGGCAAAGTATGGTCAAATATTCTTCCGTGACCGAAGCGGCATGGGGGAGGCCTTCATCCAGCAGTGGAGAGCACAAAGGCCTCTTAAATTCTTACCTACATTGTAAACGCAGTGCTCGAGTCAGATTGGGACAGCGCTAGGACGGGGCAAGGGTTAGGACTGGAACGGGGCTAGTTCAGTGTTCGGACAAAGTCAGGATAGATTTATGATGGGGGTTAGGATAGCATAGTGTGGAATAGGACAACGTTAGGACGGAGTTAGAGTTGGGCTAGGACAGGGTTATGTATGGTTGGCCTATGACCGGGCTAGTACAGACATAGGGGGGGCATATGCGCAGTGGCAGCAGCAGCAGTGGCAGCAGCAGCAGTGGCAGCAGCAGCAGTGGCAGCAGCAGTGGCAGCAGCAGCAGTGGCAGCAGCAGTGGCAGCAGCAGCAGCAGTGGCAGCAGCAGCAGCAGTGGCAGCAGCAGCAGTGGCAGCAGCAGCAGTGGCAGCAGCAGTGGAAGCAGCAGCAGTGGCAGCAGCAGTGGCAGCGGCAGCAGCAGCAGCAGTGGCAGCAGCAGTGGAAGCAGCAGCAGTGGCAGCAGCAGCGGCAGCAGCAGTGGCAGCAGCAGCAGTGGAAGCAGCAGTGGCAGCAGCAGCAGTGGAAGCAGCAGTGGCAGCAGCAGCAGCGATGGCAGCAGCAGCAGCGTTGGCGTCAATGTACCGGTAAGGTCGCCGTCACCTCACAGCGACCGAGCAGAGCGCGAAGCCCCAGCACAGCTTCCCCAGAGCCCACTCACTTCCCAGTGGGCTGTGCACACACAAAGACAAAGATCCTCCGTATAGCCTCAACAGACTGTTGGGGCAGGTGCTGTTAGCGAGTAGCACCTATGAAGGCCAGAACTGCACACTATGTTGTGGGTGGCCAACACCACATCCAAAAAAGACCACACACACACACGCATACAACAATCCCCGGTATAGCCTTAACAGATTGTTGGGGCAAGTGCTGTTAGCGAGCAACGATGAAGGCCGGCACAGCACACGAGGGGGTGGGGGTGGCCAGCACCACATCCGGGCAAGGCCACACACACATACACACAGAAGCACCGTCAACCAGAAGCCGTTAGTTAACCCCACGCGCCACCCCTGCCCCACCTCTGCCCCTTTGACCTCCACCTTCCGACCTCATCCCGACCGCCGCCCTCACCCCTTGTGGAGTAGCAGGAAGGAGATGTCTCCTTGGCGCACAGCGTTGAGGAAACCCCAGAGACCCACGCTGCAGAGTGAACTTGAAGCTCTCGTTGAACTCTGCAAAGGACACACGGGTGCACACCGGTTTTCCACTGTGCGCCAAAGCTGCGCCGGGGCTGTGCCGAGCCAGCCTGGCACGCGGCTCAGGAAGCTCCAGTTGTGGCGCCGCTGTGGCGAGATGTTAACCAGCTCGCCCGGTATGCAGGAGGTCGTGGGTTCGATCCCGACCCTGACGCCTGTACAATTGGAGTTTGCATGTTCTCCCCGTGGTCGCGTGGATTTTTCTCCGGGTATTCTGGTTTTTCCCTCCGCATTTAGAATGCACGTGGGTTTAGAGTATTTGTCTGCTATACATATCCACGTGATGAGCCACTTCGTTGAGCTATCATTTGTGGCCAGGTCGCTTGTGAAGAAGAGCTACACATAGCTCACGGGACCTTACCTGGTCAAATTAAAAAAAGTTTAGTTTAGTTTTAGGTCTCGTTTTTCCACTGCAGAACCCGAGCCTGGTGGTCACCGAAGGGCGCGCGCAGTTAACGGGTCGAGACGCCAGATTCAAGTGTCTCGAGAAGCCAGAAGTACCACGGTTTGGTGGTGGCTCGGCTTTGGCAAACAGCCCGTGGAAAACCCGACTGGTGCCGAGGGTCCCGCGGCGACTTCGCTTGGATGGTGCCGCGGGAAAAGTGGTCAGAGTAGATTAACGTAAAATAAGTACGACACACGCAGACGCGCAAGTGAACCTTGCGAGCGACACACAGACACGTGAACTCTATCTTGGGACATTATTTCCAGTATCAAAATGATGAAACAATAAGAATAGGTTTTACCCTTCCTGGAAACCAGAGAGAAGGCTGTATATCTGGTGTTGCAGCTCCTTACTATTAAAATTCCCTTCCCTTTATTACTGCTAACCCTACTTCCTCCGTTTATTACTGCTAATCCTACATAATACACGAGCATAATATGACTGAGACCCCACCTCCTACACATTCCACAAGTAGTGGACTAATCCCATATCTGCATTTTACATATGCTAAATTCCTCTGCTGATATGCAAATTCCTTTGTCAAGGCGCCCTTCCTCCCCTAACCCAGCTTAAATATACGCTGCCAAGCTTGGTGGTGTTCATTCAGACGCTGTCTTTCCGACAGACCTGTTCTTCACCTGAGGACGGCTGCTTGCGTTGTGGCCGAAACGTCGTGAGAATTGTATTTTGTTTTATTTTTATTATTTTATTATTCTCTTCTACGTGACTTTACGAAAGAACCAAGAAGATGGTGTAGGCCAGTTTGAAAGATGATGTATACATTATCCGAGTATGTTGTTTGCATGTTTTGCCACAAGTATGTGTGTGTGTTTCATGCAGACTTGGTGCCTATTTGGTGTTTGGACATCTTCACACCTCCTGTTTAACGCCAGAAAGGCTAAAACCTATTCTTATTGTTTCATCAACATGAACTCTAATTGCAACAAGCAAGACACAGACACACCAGCTACGCAAAGGACACACAGACACACGCGTGACATTCTGAAAGCGATGAGACACACGAACTGCGTTTGCGGCGCGCAGACACAGACAACTCTACTCCTATTCTTGGTTCTTTCGGTAAAGTCACGTAGAAGGGAAATAATAAAATAATAATAAACATAATAAAAATACAAAACAATAAAAATTCTCACGACGTTTCGACTGCAACACAAGCAATCGTCATCACGTGTCAAAGATTTTTTATTCTTTTATATTTTCATTACTTTATTATTCCCTTCCACGTGACTTTAACGAAAGAACCAGAATATGAATCCCTGCGGTCACGAAACCTTACATCAAAATTTAAACTCTACTCCGGCAAGACACGCACGGAGGTCACCCACAGACGACAGACAGACAGACACCAAACCCAGCAGCAGAGAGGGGGGGGGGGGGGTGGCGACTGACCTGGGCACGTGCCGCTCTGCGTGCCCGTCTTCTCCCTCTGGGACGCCTTCTGCATCCAAAGAAAACATTCGCGAGCGTCACCGGGTTAAGCTCATTCCTTTTGACGTCCTTCGCCGGCAACTTGAGATTGTTACTCTTAGGTTTTTTTCCCGTAAAGTCACGTAGGTAAAAATAAATAATAAAAGTTCAAATAATTGAAATAATAATAGAAATAGAATTATGAATCACAACGTTTCGGAGGCAACACAAGTCTCCGTCATGAGGTGGGACCGTCACAGCTAGATTTACTGTATCAAGTGAGTGAAGCTTCAAATCTAGAACTTGAGATTGGCACGGTTGGCTACGTACGGCGCGAAATAATTTCAACATACGTACGTACAGGCTGCCGCCAACCTCTTCACGTTTTTCCAACTAAAGCAGAGGTCGCAACCGGGTACCCGATACCCGTACCCTACCCGATACCTGGCTATCCATACCCGGCCGGGTACGGGTAACCGTTGCGACCCTGGTGCGGCCGGGTACGGGTACGGGTAAGCCGTGAGTCACCGGTGAGTAACCGTTTGTCACTCATTTCGGGTAGGGTACGGGTACGGGTAGCGTACGGGTACCCGTGGACGGGGAAGGGTACGGGTACCCGTTTGCGACCCTGGTGCGGCCGGGTACGGGTACGGGTACGGGTAAGGAATCAAAACCCGTTTGCGACCTCTGAACTAAAGGCTCGGATTCGCTGTCGTACTAGCGCCGTCTACCTGGCTGCAACAGGGGGTCAAGATAAAGCTCGTGAAGATGATCCAAACATGTCGGGCGCTGGCGGCTACACGTGGCGGCTTGGTGAAGGTGGCAGCGGCGGCTGGTGGATCACCACACAAATGTTATCGCGAAACTCCCTTCCTATGGGCGTCGAGGAGGAAGCCGTATGCTGGCTCGCCAAGAGAAGGCGGTAAAGCAAATGGACTTATCGCCCTGTTTATTTCATCTATACGGGGATAGAGCGTGCCCCCCCCTCCTGGCGCAAGGTGCGGGTTTTCTCCGGGTGCTCTGGTTTCGTCCCCACAAAAATAACAACAGAACTCGCTATTAATTAGCCTAAAACATCAACAACAAAAAACAATGAAGCAGCAGCAGCAGGACCCTGAACAAGTAAACCCGTAAAAACAAAGTTTTTCACTATAAATCCTTTATATGCGTGGCGGCTAGAGTCCTCTCGTCCTCTGGCTTGAGATGGCTGCACCTATGGGTCAGATGATTGTCTGCCACCATTAAGCAATTGGTAATTAATATTTAATTTGTTTTCCCTAAACAGTGTAAAATTTTGGATTTTTTTTCACGAAAATTAATTGTCACACACAACGAGTCTGTGTGGAAAATGTCAGCTCGATTGGATCACGGGAAGTGGGTTAAAAAACGAGCGAAAGATTTGCACGGTCCTAAGCACACAAGCAAACTTAATATAAAGGATTTAAAATATATTCGCCTGTGGAGGACGCGGGGATCGATCCCGCGACCTTTGGCATGGGAAGCGAGGGCTCTACCAACTGCGCTACTCCGCCACAGCCTTTGGAGGGGTTACGCTCTGGGCTCTTACACTCTGACGTTCAGCCAAAGCCATGAATGAGCTATATTTGAATATATGTAAAATACATTTTTTTGCCTAAAAAGTGTAAAATTTTGGGAATTTTTTTTCACGAACAATAATTGTCTGGCACAACGAGTCTGTGTGGAAAATGTCAGCACGATTGGATCACGGGAAGTGGGTTAAAAAACGACCGAAAGATTTGCACGGTCCTAAGCAAGCAAGCACGCAAGCAAGCAAGCAAGCGAACTTAATATAAAGGATTTTAAAAAAAGAGTCTTACGACTCCAGCGTGGCTTTCCTGGATTAATAAATAAAAACATTTTAAATGCGAATGACGCTGGGCTTGGTGAGCGGTATGCACACTAGGTATTGGGTCCGACCTCGAAGCCGACGCGTGCTGTATATTGAGAGTTTGCATGTCGCGTGGATTTTTCTCCAGGTCCTCTTGTTTTTCCCTCCACATGTAGAATCGACATCGCGCGTTCAGAGTATTTGGCTGCTAGAAAAATGTCCACTTCGTTGAGCTATCATTAGCGGCCAGGTCACTTTTGAAAAATAAGCTAACAGCTTCGTGGGCCTTACCGAGTAACATTTTTTGAATTGTTCAGTTTTCGTTAAGTCTGGGGGGTGTCGGCACTCACCGGGCATGGCAGGGGCACCTCGATTTTTACGAATGCGTGCAGTCCATGCTTCGCCACACCTGGTTGCACACGTGGTATGGGGGGGGGGGTGACAATGAGCACACACACAGTGTACACACGCAATACGCGGGGCATGGCAACACGTGTCGACAAGACGCAACGACACGAGCGATGACACGCCACGCAGGACGACGACACGTGACAATCGGTACAGAGTGTTCGACACACGCACAAATACGAAGCGGATCGCCACGGTGAGAACACTCATTGCCTACAGCGTAATGACACGCAATCTTAACGAGGCGCAATCGGTAAAGAGTTAGAGGAGGATTCAACGTGCGTAATAACACAGGTGAAAATGGACAGCGAGACACAACACAAGGTGACACAATACTCATTGGAAAAACATAATCATCATTTACATTTACAAGGCGCAATTCATCCAGGGATCTCAGTGCACCACGCACGAAGTTAAGAAATAAACTTTGATTTAAAGGTTTCGTGACTGCAGGGATTCATATTCTTGGTTCTTTCGGTAAAGTCACGGAGAAGGGAAATAATAAAATAATAAAAATATTAAACAATCATTTTCTTGCTGTGTTTTTCACACCTGATGATGATTGCTTGTGTTGCAGTCGAAACGTCGTGAGAATTTTATTGTTTTATATTTGTATTATTTTATTGTTTCCCTTCTACGTGACTTGACCGAAAGAACCAAGAATTAAGAAATATAATCAATACAAAGTCCAGAGACCAATGGGTCATACATGGGAAGTGTCGGGCAGGCGAAACAAATGAGTCTTTAGAGAAGACCTAAGCATGGCAAGTGACCTCGCCTAAATCAAGAGTTATATATCATCACAAAACGTCAGTAAAATACACGTTTATAATCTATAGTTCACCATCATCATCATCATTCGGGGCGTGAAAAAAACCACTGCCGGATGATGGCTGTGCCCCCAAGCAGTGATCTCTCATAACCTCGCTTAGTAATAATCCGCCTAGCACCCTCGACGAGCCAATTTCATTGCTCCACCTCCGCAGTAGACGTCCTCTCTCTCTCTCGCTGGGCGTGTACTGGCACTTGGTTGCTACTCATTCTTCAACTCCCGTCTCGAACTTTGCTCACGTTCTCAGCTCCACGAGTTGCGTCTTCCCGTCTCTCAGCGCAATTGCAAGCATGTGTAGTGACGTAGAATTGGTCACCAAGTAGAACAGCGCCGGCTGCTGGCTGGGAAGGGGATCTGCAGCTTACAGCAGCCCTGACTGACAGCAGGCCACGTGATAGACCAGAGAGGGATCTCGGGGAAAGGTTACGGAAGGGACACGTCGAGACCCGCTAGTAGGTTCCAGAAGGGGGCGTTGGCCAGGGGCGGAGCCAGGCCACGCCCCCCAGTATAAGAGGGCCCCCCCCCCCCGGGAGGGGACCTCGGGGCTGTCGTTTGGAGTGGGATTCTCATCGTCGTTGCTGCTGAAGATCGTCGCCATCGTCTCCACTTGATATTGCGCTGCTGGACGTAGTTGTCTTAGTTCAGCGCCATCAGTGTCAGACGGCTAGCGTTGTGTGTAGGCTGGCAACCAGTGTAGAGTTGCGTTTCAGCGAGAGACAGTATGTAAGTGTAGGGTGTGTATAACAAAGTGTGCACGGTGTTTAAATAAAAAGCTGCCTCCAAGAAGTTATGTCTCCAAGTCAGTCATTACACATGCATCCCAGCCGTTCCTTTTTTGTGTGGGTCGTGGGTCACCAGGTGTACGGTGGGAGCGCGGCGCTATGAACCAGGCGACCCGAGTTCTATTCCCGCTCAATGCCAACACCGCCAGTGACGATTATATGAATCGGTCTTGGCTCTCTTCTAGGTCGACTCAGTCTCAAATGAGTACCTGGTACGGTGTGTAAAATCATCACCGCTAGGGAGACAAAGGCGGCCGGGCGTAGTGCTGGCCACCCACCACCTTTGTGCATGCCGTGCCGACTTTCATGGGTGCTCGCTAACAGCACTTGTCCCGCCAGTCTGTTATGGTTATACAGGAGATCTTTGTCTTTGGTAGACAGGCAAGCCCCGCACGCCCGCGTCATTGCGTCCTCACCTGGAGTGGAGGGGGGGCAAAGGTCGTGACCCCGGAACACGGTCACCAAGAGGTCACCAGCAGCCAGGTCAGGGTTGACCCTACGCACAGGGGGGGGGGGGGGGGGGTCACGTGTTATACCTTGTGGCACACACCAACATACGGATGCACACTTACGTGTACGAAGACAAAGAGGGCACAGGTAACCTGCAAGAGGCTGCTGGGTCAAGTGCTGTTGGCGAGCACGAGGGAGGGTGATGTGGTAAGGAACAAGCACGACCACCTTTGTTCTCCCCCCACTGCCAATATTTACTCACACCACAGGAGGTACTCATTTCAGGTTGAGTTAGGCAACGTTGGGCCTTGCCAATCCGAGCTGGAAAAATATTTGAAGAAAAAATTTGAGGGACATCCGAGGAACTTGAATTTGTTAGCTCCAAAGAGCTTTATCAGTTGGTAAGCTGACACTTTGAAAAGCTCACATTTGCATCTTTTGGGACACATATATAGTTTTAAAGCATACATACTTAGGTTTTTTTCACGTTGATAACTCGCTTAAAAGTTTTGACATTTCAAGTCAAATTCGAACCCGTGACACAGTCTATTGATTCGGTGACCATCTTCAACTCAGGCCAAAAAATCAGGCTTCAGGCTAAAAATCTGGCTTGGCAACAGCAATTTTCATAATCAGTGGGGGTCAAAGAGCCCCTAAAACATCTGTTGCCAGCTTGTTACACGATCTGCCCCTTGCATCAATTTCCAGGCCCTTGATAGAAAATTACTGCCGAGACTGCATGGGCCTCTGTACGAGTCTACGTGCATCCAATTATGACCGCGGTAAAGTGTGAACGCCATCGCTCCCATCATCACCGACAAATATCCCCCGTGTAGCCTGCAACTGTCTATTGGGGCAAGTGCTGTTAGCAAGAACCTATGAAGGCTGGCACTACACACGAGAAGGAGGGTGGCCAGTGGCAATGTTTAAACACCGCAGAGTCGACCGCCCAGGAAAGGTTTAGATAATTGTCACTAGTGTTGGTGGCCACAAGCGGGAATCGAACTCAGGACTCCGGCTTCCTAGCGCAGCGCACGTGCTAACCACCGTACTAACGTTCCCCACACAAACACACACATACTTTTGCGGGAGGTACAAACGCAATCCATCTGGCCGGCCCAGACACCGTTAAATGGCTTTCCAAACTCAACAGGCAGCAAACAGCTCGGTCCGCTGCCTTTCAAATGCCGTCGGAAGGAAGGAAATAACGTAAAAGGTTCAACGTTGTTGTGGGCGCCATTTGCTGCGTGGAGTTTGCACCAGCCTCAAACGCTACAGCTGCACGGAGCGCCAAACCACAGCTGGGTTGCCGGTAAATGATAGACAAACAGTAATTTTGCGTGTGCAGCGCGGTAACCACATCTGTGAGCTCACGTCAGCCGCCTTTTCTTTCTTGCCGTTCGTCTGTCCTGGCCGTTAACATCCCACTGCTGGGAAAATTCCTTGCCTGAATGTCTTCTACTCTTAAACATTTCTTGTCATCTCCATCCAAATCTTCTCATCTCGTGCCACAATTTTAGTTTTTTTTTCTACCTCCCTTCCCTCCATGCCTCCCTCCGTGGGCCTCCGTTCCGTCGTTAACTATATTCCGTCTGCCATCCGATCTCCGAAACTGGGCGTGTTGCACGACTCAATTTTGGTATTTACATTATGTAAATTGAATCAGTGAAAACGTGCTTTTTAACTCTCAAATATTTGGTTGTAATTTTGTACCGCCCAGCTACTTAAAAAATCCTCAATATCGTGTTTCAGCCACTAGACAACATGCCGCCAGCCAGTCGGCGGGTCAGTCACGCAGAACACGTGTGTATTGGTGGGTGGCTGAGCGTTGTGTGTGGTGTGTATTAGTGGGTGGCTGAGCGTTGTGTGTGGTGTGTATTAGTGGGTGGCTGAGCGTTGTGTGTGGTGTGTATTAGTGGGTGGCTGAGCGTTGTGTGTGGTGTGTATTAGTGGGTGGCTGAGCGCTGTGTGTGGTGTGTATTAGTGGGTGGCTGAGCGTTGTGTGTGGTGTGTATTAGTGGGTGGCTGAGCGTTGTGTGTGGTGTGTATTAGTGGGTGGCTGAGCGCTGTGTGTGGTGTGTATTGGTGGGTGGCTGAGCGTTGTGTGTGGTGTGTATTAGTGGGTGGCTGAGCGTTGTGTGTGGTGTGTATTAGTGGGTGGCTGAGCGTTGTATTATGTGGCTGGTGGCTGGGTGTTGTGGAGTGAGGTGGTGCGTGTTGGTGGGTGGCTGGGTGTTGTGGAGTGTGGTGGTGCATGTTGGTGGGTGGCTGGGAGTTGTGGAGTGTGGTGGTGCGTGTTGGTGGGTGACTGGGAGTTGTGGAGTGTGTTGGTGCGTGTTGGTGGGTGGCTGGGTGTTGTGGAGTGTGGTGGTGCATGTTGGTGGGTGGCTGGGAGTTGTGGAGTGTGGTGGTGCGTGTTGGTGGGTGACTGGGAGTTGTGGAGTGTGGTGGTGCGTGTTGGTGGGTGGCTGGGTGTTGTGGAGTGTGGTGGTGCATGTTGGTGGGTGGCTGGGAGTTGTGGAGTGTGGTGGTGCGTGTTGGTGGGTGACTGGGAGTTGTGGAGTGTGGTGGTGCGTGTTGGTGGGTGGCTGGATGTTGTGGGGTGTTGTGGCGTGTTGGTGGGGAGGCTGGATGTTGCGGGTGTTTCTTGGGGTGTGTGCGGAACCTGGGCACGTGCAGAGTCTCGCGCGTGAGGGTGTGTGTGGGGGGCGGTGCCCCCTGCCTCTGCGCCATCTCCAGTAGCACCTGCAGCCGCGTTGCTTGTTCAGCCATCTCCTCAAACCTACGATAAAACAAAGATCGCCCCGGACAGCCTTTACAGACTGTTAAGGCCAGCACGGCGCACGAGGGGGTGGCATGTCCAAAACCTCTCTCCGCTACCTTCGTTTCCACCAATGCTTATGTTTACCCATCGCACCAGGTACTCATTTAAGGTGGAGTGGACCTAGGAGAGGCTCAGGACCGCTTCAGATATTCGTCACCGATTGTTGGCAGTGAGTATCGAACATGGGTCGCGGGGTTGTAGCACAGCACGCGCTAAGCATGCGCCACCGTTCCCCACGTATATTCACACACACAGTCACAACAACAAAGTCACAACAAGAACCACCACCGCTGCCACTAAGTGGCAGTGGTGTCACCAAGGCGCTTGTGCCAGACTAGGTACACCTTGAGGCGCGCCACACAAAGATCCCCCTTATAGCCTTAACAGACTGTTGGGGCACCAATGAAGGTTGGCACGGCACATGAGGGGGTGGGTGGCCAGCACCAAGTCCGACTGTCTTTGTCTCCCCAGCGGCGATGCTTACACACCACACCAGGTACTCATATGAGGCTGAGTCGACCTAGGGGAGGCCCATGACCGGTTCAGAAAATCGTCACCGGTGTTGGCCGTGAGCAAGAATCGAACTCCGCTCGCCAGGTTCGTACCACAGCATGCAAACTGCTGCCCTACCGCGCGCACACACACAGTCACACACACAGTCACACACAGTCACACACACAGTCACACACAGTCACACACAGTCACACACAGTCACACACACGTACTCACCTGGCAGCTTCAGTGCTGTGCTCAACCTGCGAGCAACGCCCCGAATATGCCCGGCATTTCTGTGGAACCAGAGGCATAATCTTAGTAACTCCTACTGCAATGAAACCCACGTGGGGGGGGGGGAAGGGATGCAAGTTTGAGTGGGTAGTGGTACAGGTCATAGTGCAGCTGTGCAGAGGTGGTGCAGGTGTGAGCAGGTGGTGGTACAGGTGGTGGTACAGGTGTGAGTAGATGGTGATACAGGTGGTGGTACAGGTGGTGGTACAGGTGTGAGTGAGTGGTGGTACAGGTGGTGGTACAGGTGAGTGGGTGGTGGTACAGGTGGTGGTACAGGTGATAGTGCAGGTTGGGGGTGGAAGTGCAGGTGTGAGTGGGTGGTGGTACAGGTGGTAGTGCATCAGCCAGTCATCTCAGTCAGTCGACCCGTGGCACCTGGGTCTGCCCCGTGACCTCCTGCCAGCGGGCGTTCGACACTTCACGTGGCCTCAAGGTGCACATAGCCTGCCACAAGCGTCGTGGTGACGTCACCGCCACTTTGTGGCGAATGGCGGTTGTCGTTGTTGTTGGTGGTAGTGCAGGTGAGTGTGAGTGGTGGTAGTGGTTCAGATGTGAGTGGGTGGTGGTGATGCAGATGGCTGCGGTCCAGGTGTGAGTGGGCAATGGTGAAAGTGGTGGGCCACAGTTTCTTTCACAAATCGGGGAGCAGTGATGGGAGCGGGAGCCCTCACCTTTCCCTGCTCGCCCAGTCGCTCCGTGAGCCACGCGTACTCCTCCTGTGACCGTTTCGACAGGGCGCACCCTGCCGGCTCCTTTGCCCCGCGGACCCCCTCTGTCCCGCGGGTCCCCTTGACCCCTCGATGAGGCCCCTTCGCTCCAGACCCCGGTGTGACCACACTGCAGCTGTGGCTGCCGTCGGGATGCACTTGCCTCGTCCGTCTCGGTCGGAACGGGTCCCACTTCTCAAAACTCGGTTTTTGCAAACTCGGCCTTTCTTGCCTCTGCACGGTCGTGTGATTCGGGCTGTCGCCCCTTTCCTTGGCTGCCCTCTGAGTTTTGTCAACGGGGCTGTCTGTAGACCGGTCCCTGTTATGCACTAGCTGGTGTACTGGCTTGTACAGACTTTCTTTATTCACGTCTTTATGATGTAACGGCTTATACAGAATTTCTTTATGATGTACTGGCTTGTCTACACTTTCCTTATACCGGTCCTTATGATATACCGATCTGTCCATATTCTTCTTGTACCGGTCCTTATGATATACTGGCTTGTACAGCATTTCCTTATTCTGGTTCTTATCATACACTGGTTTCGGGACACTCTCCTTATTCTGTATTGCCATGTGCACACTCTCCTTATGCCTGTCCTTGTTATACACTGGCTTATACACACTTTCCTTGTGTCGCTCCTTGTCATCCGTTGGCCTGTAAGCACTTTCTTTATACCTGTCCTTATTGTATTCTGGTTTCTGTAGACTCTCCTTGTGCCCGTCCTTGTAATGCACTAGCTCACGCAGACCTTCCTTGTACCGGCGGTCACGGTTCTCCACCGGTTTCTGCAGACTGTCCCCGTGTTGGTGCTTGTGCGGCGCTGGCGGGACAAGCCGACGAGCGTCAGGGTCTTGCCTCGCTCGCTCGCCGCTGGGAAGATGTCGCTGCACGCCACACCCAATGCCACATCACGTACCCTGACGCAGCTCCTCAACGCAACGCCTGAACGCAACACTTTTTAACACATGCCGAACGTACTCTCTCAAGTGCACATGTCAGCGCACGTCTACTGCACACCCCGACACACGCGGCCTAGCGGCAGCGCGTTCGCCGCTCGTTGCAGACGTTCACAGTTCAAATCCAGCGGCCACCATGATTAATACTACAGTGTGTAATAACCGCAGTAATAATGAAACTACGCGCCGTCTGCTTCGCTCAGAGTGGATGTTAAAGATCCCCTGAAGTCACTCGCAAGAGTAGGCCAAGGTTAAGTGTGAATGTAATTGTGCCATATAATTGGTCTCGTTTTTTTACACCTGTAATTGTGGAATGCTGTGAGGTTGGCTGCCAGCCAAGATCACCCCTTGAAAATTAATCTTTTAGCTCGATGGGCTTTACTCGAGAAACAGCTCGAGAAATACACTTCTGATTCTGTGTGCTGGCGTCCGCATTTTACAAATTCAAAAATGACACGACAAATTACTCAATTGGGATCACACACAGCAGCAATCATCCGTGCCTGTCGGCAGGCTAATGACAAATGAGACTATCCAGATCCCTTCAGTTCTCACCCGGTTAAACAAAATAAACTTAAAATTTTAACTGGAAAGGTGTCTAAATGTGCATCGCAGACGTGACGTGAAGCCATTGCACACAACACGTACAAAGAGAAAAACGTTACCCCTTACGGGCACATTTAAAGAATACAACATTAATCTACGCATCATTATTATCGGGATAACTTCAGCCAAGGACGTCTGGGTCAGCAAGCCAGAGCATATTTCCGCACCTGGCACGCAAAATTTATCGTGCTAGAGATGCTTCAATCATCATTTTGCATTTCTTAAATTATTACATTACATCAGAACTCTCGTTATGGCTGTGGTTACTGATCGAATGCCTCCAGCCTACCAGTGAGACCAGAACAATATGTCGCAATCGGCACACCACATCTATTATACCTATACAGGTAGTCCCCGAGTTACGATGATCCGACTTACGATATTTCGATCTTACGATGGCGATATCGATGACAAAATTGTAGGTAGGCCAAAAATGTACCTTGTTTTTTACTTAAATTTTACTGTGCAATACAGTATTGTAATTAATAAATACATACAGTATATAGTTTATACAGTACGGTACTGTAAATTGCTTTGTTTTGCTAAATTATCACCATTCTTTAAGACTCCTGGGTAGGCTAGGCCATCTTCGACCTACGATATTTTCGACTTACGATGGGGTCGTCGTAACGCATCTCCGTCGTAAGTGGGGGACTACCTATACTGTTTGGTTCTTTCGGTAAAGTCACTACGGCTGTGGCTGCTAGTCAAGTGCCTGCTCGAAGTCCACCAGCAACTGAGAAAACATTCAGGGAGAAACTGAGAACCGGTTACGTCGTTGACCTACGTGTGAATGTGTCATTTACAAAAGCCTCCGCACATCTTTGTGTGACATTCCCTGAACAAATCTCACCGAACTACTCATTCGCACTGCATTTCTTTGCAACGCGAAAATAAAAGGCTGACATTCCGGGTAACATCAATACTTTGGAGGAAGGAGTGGGGACAGAAAGGAGCTTTTTGTGATTCATTTCATTAGATATGTTCTTGTGCATCACTGCCAAAGCAGTCCCGTAAACTTCACTTGTTCACGAGTCAATTTACCGCACTTGGGCGACGTCATTCTTGTGTAGGTGGCGCGCGCTCTGACCGTAAGGAAACGCAAACCTATGACACCAAAGACGAGCTATGTATGACCCATTGACCCCAGCTGGCTGGATTGTCTGGGTCTTGCCTAATAAAACTAGTGTGTAGCTACTGTCGAAATTGGCACGCTGGCTTGGCACAACGATTTGGCAGGCATGCTAGTGAGCACGTCACCCCTACTCGCACGTGACCGCGGGTGGTGCCCACCAAACAAACGTCCACATTGTGGAGGACGGCCTCTTCTGGTGCTGGCTAAAAGGTGGAATGCCAAGGTTGACTCAACTCGGTCGAATGGTCGGAAGATGTCGACATCGACCTGCAACGGTAAACGCTATAAAGACCTACGGCGGAAAAAAAAATGTTGGCAACCTCACAGCTAAATTTAGCAATCACCTAATAACACAGTGGTGCAATGGTTCTCACACTGCACTATGGACCAAGTAACCTCAATTCAATTCCAGGTCATAGTTGACATTAGAGACGTTTGATATCAAACTGGTCCTGGTAACCCCACCTCCCACCCACCCACCCCCAAAATCCTTTAATAAACTGGCTCTGGCCAGCATGCTGAAGTATGGTCAAATAACCCCCATGACCGACAGGACTGAGAAAGAATGGTAAATTACTATTAAAAAATCTGGTGGTTGTCCTGCATAATTTTGTATTTGTCTGCATCGGTTTTTTTTTGCACTGTGTTGTTGTTACTGGAATACCCTTAAATAATAACGTTCATCTCATTCAAAGTGACTGAGCGATGAAATATAAAGCCTAATGTGGCCACAGGTCATTCATGCAATGCAGTTTAAGATTGTAGTTTCAAATGAATTTCACTCCATCCACAGTCTGGGCTTCAACCCGGCCAGCAAAATATATTTTTCTGCCCAAAAAAAATCTGACCTCGGTTCATCTCACTGAGGTATGTCCCCCACGCGTGGCGTGTAACAAAGTGTGGGCTATGTTGTCCTTCCCCCGCACCTCCAATGAGCACGGCTGTCAACGTACGATGTTGAAAGAGGTTCAACATACACATACGTACGTTACTGGAGGTTTCCCTGGCAGACGGGATGCGATGTGTCTTGTGGTCCTTGAGGTCCTGGTGAAACTGGTTGGGATTTTGGACACCGTGATGTGACGACGACCCTGGTTGTCGCCAAACTGCCCCCTCGGTCCCCGTCTGCGCCCCACTCTGCCCTGCCAAAACACATGCAGTGGCGACATTCGTTAACGGAAGGAGGCAAGCAGGTCTGGTATTGAGAAAAACAAAAAAATATTGAAAACTAAACGAGTTTTTTATTTTACCAGGTAAGGCCCACTGAGCTATAGAGGTCTTTTTCAGAAGCGACCTGGATAGAAATTATAGTGCAAAGCAGTGGCTTATCGCGTGGAATTTATAGCAGTCAAATACTCTAAATGCATGTTGATCCGGAGATAAATTCATACAACCATGGGGAGAGACACAAACTCCAAATATACAGGAGTCAGGGTCTGGATCGAACCCACCACCTGTATTTAATGTGGCGCTGCACTCTGATGTTGTAGGAGAAAAATGTGTTTAAAAGTCTATTTAATTAAGTAGAACGTGTTGTCTATATTTATTTAAAGTTGCGCATTTTGATGTGACGTCACATTTCTCAATCCCCCCCTCCCACGTCGTCACAAATGTCTGACAGCCCCCCCACCCCCTTAGGTGCGTGACGTCATTTATGGACGGTCCCGAACGTGGTTTTCGAGCGGTCCAAAACGATCACCAAGCAAATGCTGCAGTTACACAATAAACAATTAAATTATGACAGGAACCATGAATATTATGCAGTTTATAATCAATTACAATTGCTCCAAAAAACATTAGCAAAGTAGATTTGAAGCTTTCGTGACTGCAAGGATTCATACTCTTAGGTTTTTTCGGTAAAGTCACGTAGGAAAAAATAAAAATATAGAAATTATAATAGAAATGAAATAATAAATTATCATTTCTATTATTTTTTATTTTTACCTACGTGACTTTACCGAAAAAACCTAAGAGTATTTGCAAAGTAATTATGTATTGGATAATAGCTATGTATGTACAATTCTAACTACACATTCATAATGGATTTTTTTTTTGGAGGAGGGATTTGGCCACGTAATTATCTGTCAAAAAGTGTGCCGTTAAGACCCTCCACCACCCGATATAGGGGCCGTCATAAATGACGTCACGCACCTAGGGGGGGGGGGCAGACATTTGTGACGATGTGTGACGAGGGGGGGGGTGAGAAATGTGACGTCACATCAAAATGCGCAACTTTAAATAAATATAGACAACACGTTCTACTTAATTAAATAGACTTTTTAATAAATGTTTCTCCTACAACATCAGAGTGCAGCGCCACATTAAATACGCACTACAATGACAATAGTTTAAAGCGATTTGAAGCATGTTTTTTGGGGGGGGGGCAGAGCTTTGTGACGTCATTTGAGAGGGGGGGTCTGACTTTGTGACGCCGTGTGACGAAGTGGGGGGGGGGGGGTCAAAAATCCTACAAAATCGCGTGACGTCACTTATGGACGGCCCCATAGCCGAACAAGTTCAAATGTCACGTGCTGTACGCGCGTTTAAAACCGAGCTACACTGCAATCAATCCGAGTCGGTTACATCGCAACAAGTTTAGTGTGGAAATGAAACATTTAGGGGCAACGGTGATGTACAATCGCGACATGTCTTTGCCGAAGGAGTCGTTACGATTATCGCGATTATCGCGATTATCAGCGATAATCACCGCGATGAAGCCAAAAACACAAAACATTGGCACTGTCCGGCTGGACACGGCCTTCGACACGGCGGGCGCACGAAACAAAAACGAAAAAAAAAACACTCGACGACGTTTCGGCCCACGGGTCCTTCATCAGGCGCGCGACAACAACAACAACCACAACAACAAAACCCTCCGCGGCCTCTCTCCGCCGCCTCACCTGAGGGAAGAAAACGAACGCGAAGCTTGGTCCCCATAAACTCCTGGGGGGGGGGGGGGAGGGGGGGGTCCCCTTCAATCCGGGGTCCCCGCCGCTGATCCCCGTAGGGGGTAAGCGGTGACACGGGGGGGGGGGGAGGGGGGGTTCGCGGAGCCCCCCGAAGATGTTCGCGAGAGGCAGAGGCGGGAGTTGCTGGGCCAAGTTTCTGGTCACGTGTGCAGGTTGTGGGGGATGAGGGGAGGGGGCAACTCGGCCAGGTGTCGGTGGAGGGCGGGAACTTACGGTGTTGTGGGGGGCGGGGCATGTCGTCGCAAATGTGGGCGTGGTCTCGCGGGCAGGTGTGCGTTGATTGGTTAATGCAAAGGGACGGGGCGGGGCGAAATGCGTGGGTGGTGGCATGTGATAGATATGGGCGTGGTCTCGCGGGGTAGGTGTGGCGTTGATTGGTTAATGCAAAGGGCGGGGCGGGGCGAAACGCGTGGGTGGTGGCATGTGACAGATGTGGGCGTGGTCTCGCGGGGTAGGTGTGCGTTGATTGGTTAATGCAAAGGGACGGGGCGGGGGCGAAACGCGTGGGTGGGTGGTGGCATGTGATAAATGTGGGCGTGGTCTCGCGGGGCAGGTGTGCGTTGATTGGTTAACGCAAAGGGGAGGGGCGGGGCGAAACGCGTGGGTGGTGGCATGTGATAAATGTGGGCGTGGTCTCGCGGGCAGGTGTGCGTCGATTGGTTAACGCAAGGGGCGGGGTCAAACGCGAGGGTGGGTGGGGCATGTGACAAATGTGGGCGTGGTCTCGCGGGCAGGTGTGCGTCGATTGGTTAACGCAAGGGAGGAGGGGTCTAAATGTAAGGGTGGGTGGGGCATGTGCCGAATATGGGCGTGGACTAGAGGGGGAGGTGTGCGTTGATTGGTTGACACAAGGGGGCTGGGTCAAACGCGAGAGTAGGAGGAGCCTGTGTGTGGGGTGGGGTCTGTTGCAATATGGGCGTGGTCTCGTACAGGTATTCATACTCTTAGGTTTTTTCGGTAAAGTCACGTAGGTAAAACATCAAAATTAATATAATATAATATTTATTTTTATTAATTTTGATGTTTTACCTACGTGACTTTACCGAAAAAACCTAAGAATATGAATCCTTGCAGTCACGAAAGCTTCAAATCTAGAATCTCGTACAGGTGTTTACCTGGCCCCCCCTGCCATCCCTTCAGTACGCTCGCAAATGTGCCGGAGCTATTCCAGTACTACGAAGAAGGGCCATTGCCCGAAACGTTGCCTGTTATATATACACAGTATTCTTAGGTTTTTTTCGGTAAAGTCGCGTAGGTAAAAAATAAAAATTAATAAAAATAAAATTAAAATAAAATTAAAATCACGACGTTTCGGAGGCAACACATGCTCCCGTCTTCATGTAGAACCGTCACAGCACGAAAGCTGTATGAAGCCTTTTATTTGATACAGCTATCGTGTTGTGACAGTCCACCTGAAGACGGAAGCTTGTGTTGCCTCCGAAACGTCGTGATTTTTATTTTATTTTATTTAACTTTTATTAATTTTAACTTTTCACCTACGTGACTTTACCGAAAAAAACCTAAAAATATGAATCCTTGCAGTCGCGAAAGCTTCAAATCTAGAAATATATACACAGTGTTTTATTTTTAAAGCCACGCACTCACACGGTGGTGTTGTTGTTATTGATGAATGTGTTGATTGTTTTTATTATTTAGCTAATTGTTACAATGATCAGCGCACCCGGGGTAGTCAGCCAGCCAATCTGAAAGTGAAGTGGCAGCAATATATTTGTTTTATTGTTATTTTAGTTCTAATGCAAATTGGTTTAGGTGGACATTGTTGTTTTTATTATTATCAGTGAAGGGTTTGTCTTAGAATTGATAAGTAAATATATTTGTTTTATTGTTATTTTAGTTCTAATGCAAATTGGTTTAGGTGGACATTGTTGTTTTTATTATTATCAGTGAAGGGTTTGTCTTAGAATTGATAAGTAAATATATTTGTTTTATTGTTATTTTAGTTCTAATGAAAATTGGTTTAGGTGGTCATTGTTGTTTGTATTATTATCAGTGAAGGGTTTGTCTTAGAATTGATAAGTAAATATATTTGTTTTATTGTTATTTTAGTTCTAATGCAAATTGGTTTAGGTGGACATTGTTGTTTTTATTATTATCAGTGAAGGGGTTGTCTTAGAATTGATAAGTAAATATATTTGTTTATTGTTATTTTAGTTCTAATGAAAATTGGTTTAGGTGGTCATTGTTGTTTTTATTATTATCAGTGAAGGGTTTGTCTTAGAATTGATAAGTAAATATATTTGTTTTATTGTTATTTTAGTTCTAATGCAAATTGGTTTAGGTGGAAATTGTTGTTATTATTATTATCAGTGAAGGCTTTGTCTTAGAATTGATAGGTTAACTACTCATACGAATGGGCTATTGCCAGAAACGTCGCTTAACAGAGCCGCGCGTGTGTGTGCGTGTTCCATGACGTTTCGACTGAAACACAAGCAATCATCATCAGGTGTGAAATCCACGGCAAGAAAATTTGAAAAAAGTGAAAACAAATTCTTGCTGTGGATTTCACACCTGATGATGATTGCTTGTGTTGCAGTCGAAACGTCGTGAGAATTTTTATTGTTTTATATTTGTACTAGCATAAGTACCCGGCGTTGCCCGGGTGAAAAATATATTTCTTAATAACCTTACATATATACACAGATGGGCTGCTACCCCTGCCCCCCCCAGCCACGATCTCCTCGGCCGCTGTGCAGTAATATGTACGGCCTATAGTGTGGTGGGGTGTCGAGGCCTAGTACCGTGTAGAGCCTCCGGCCTCGCCTAAATTGCCCACCCGGCTGAGGCTGGGTACGGGTGCCGTTCCCCCCCCCCCCCCCCGCGCTACAATAATACTGTCTAATCGCTATAATTGTATTATCTACCGACCCTATAATAGTAATTGCACACATTGGGGTGGGGGGGGGGAGTGAAGAGGATGTGAAACTTTGATGAATTTACCTCAGAGTCGCGTGGTGGGTGTCGAGGCCTAGTACCGTGCAGAGCCTCCGGCCTCGCCTAAATTGCCCACCCGGCTGAGGCTGGGTACGGGTGCCGTTCCCCCCCCCCCCCCCCCCGCGCTACAATAATACTGTGTAATCGCTATAATTTTATTATCTACCGAGCCTATAATAGTAATTGCACACATTGGGGTGTGGGGGGAGTGAAGAGGACGTGAAACTTTGATGAATTTACCTCAGAGTCGCGTGTTAATGCGTGCGCATATTTTTAACGTGAATTAAAAATGGCGTCCACCCTGCAGCAAATGCGTCGCTACCGTTGCCAGGGGCAACCGCCGTGGAAAACCAAACGGACCAATCGCGTCTCGCAAATCCCTCACATTTCGTCCAATGAAACTGCGTATGGTCCGGCGACACACAGACAGACAGACACACACACAGACACACACACAGACAGACAGACCGACAGACAGACAGACAGATTTGCGATTTTATATATATAGATTATTTATTATTTCCCTTCTACGTGACTTTACCGAAATAACCAAGAATACGTTCTACTTAATTAAATAGACGTTTTAATAAATGTTTCTCCTACAACATCAGAGTGCAGCGCCACGTTAAATACGCACTACAATGACAATAGTTTAAAGCGATTTGAAGCATGTTTTTGTTGGGGGAGGGGGGGCAGAGCTTTGTGACGTCATATTCGAGAGGGGGGGTCTGACTTTTTGTGACGCCGTGTGACGAGGGGGGGGGGGGTCAAAAAATCGTCCAAAATCGGTGCGTGTCTGGTCTTGTATCGTTACTGCAGCGCCGCCTAGTGGCGAACAGCGCTCCTGCATCCTAGCACTGCAAAGACAAAGCTCCACCATGTAGCCTGCACGGACCGCTGGGGCAAGTGCTTTTAGCGAGAACCTAAGAAGGCCGTGGAGATGTTTACACACCGCCGCACCAGGTACTCATTCGAGGCGGAGACGACGTAGCGGATTCGAACTCGGGCCGCCGGGGTTCGTAGCGCAGTGCACGAACCACTGCCCTGCCTTGGCCTCCCTTCTTTTTACGATGAGAGGAAGCAAGACGATGCTCGGTGTAGTCGGCACTTTGCTTCGTTCATCATTAGGGGTTTTTTGTGTTTTTTAAATGCTTTGCTTCATGTGTCCCCCCCCCCCTCTTTTTAAAATGAAATATTTCACAAAATTTCACGCTCTGCTCTCCTCCTTCTTACCTCTTCCCCCTCTCTCTACCCCCTCTCTCTACCCCCCCTCTCTCCCTACTCCCCTCTCCCCTACTCCATGTCTACCTTGCCCTCTTGCACAGCCTACACACAGCCTACACATAGCAAACACACAGCCTACACATAGCCTACACATAGCAAACACACAGCCTACACACAGCCTACACATAGCAAACACACAGCCTACACACAGTCTACACATAGCAAACACACAGCACACACAGCCTACACATAGCAAACACACAGCCTACCACAGCCTACACATAGCAAACCCTACACAGCCTACACATAGAAACCACAGCCTACACACGCCTACACATAGCAAACACACAGCCTACACACAGCCTACACATAGCAAACACACAGCCAGCACATCCTACACAGAGCAAACACAAGCGACAAGGTTAGTGAGCCTGTTAGGGCAAGGTACCAGTGGCGCAACTAATGCCGGTATGGTTATGGCGTGCGTCTGGGTTATATTAAATGAGCTAGTAGCAGTGGCTTGCTGGTTAGAAGGAATGGGGGTATAGAGTGCGTGGAGGGGAGTGGAGTGAGATGAGAGGGGAGAGGTAGGAGTAGTGCGTGGTGGGGGATGGAGTGAGATAGAAGGTAGGAGAGTGCGTGGTGGGGGAGTGGAGTGAGATGAAAGGGAAGGGGTAGAGAGGTGACGTGGTGGGGAGTAGAGTGAGATGTGAGGGAGGGGTAGGAGAGTGCTGTGGGGGGAGTAGAGTGAGATGAGAGGGAGAGGTAGGAGAGTGCGTGGAGGGGAGTGAGATGAGAGGGGAGAGGTAGGAGAGTGCGTGGAGGGGAGTGGAGTGAGATGAGGGGAGGGTAGGAGAGTGCGTGGAGGGGAG